GAACTGGAAGAAGGGACGGCCGAGTAATATGTCGAACGGGGCTCCGTCCACTACATGCGCCTGAAGCAAGAGATCGATCCCGCCGAGGGAGAATTTTAAGTTCTCGACCAACCCGGCGGTCGTACTCTGGTTTGAATCCGCCGATTCCATAACCAGGGTTTTCTCCGGCGACAGATGGACACCGAGTTCCTGCCAGACGCTGCGGTTCATCGCAACAATCTCTGAACCGGTGTCGAGAGTGCAAGTGATGGGACGGTGCTCATTGACCGTGATGTCGAGCACCCGGAGCGAGTCGATTGGGGAAGCGGTGAGCAAGGTCGTCCTCGGTTCCTCCATGTGGGTATAGCGCATTACGAGTGCTGGGGTTTCGCCATAAAAGGAAGATTCAACCGTGGGAATCCTTTTGGTAACCGTCGCGTCGCGATAATGACGACGGAACTCGGCTGAAAGCGCGCAAAGCTCTTCATGAGACACCAAAATTTTGTTTTTCTGGGCTCTCTCGATGACCTCTTTGACCATTTCCGGGTTCTCGCAGGCTGCCTGATATTTGAACGCCGGAAGCGGAGGCTGAGTTTTAGCTTCAACGGGCTTGGCGGCAGGCTGGATCTCGATCGTGGGTTTCAGGGAAGACTTTGCTGGCGCCTTCTTCTGAATAACCACTTCGGGGACCGGTTTTTTAGGCCTTGTCCGCTCATTCGCCCAGACTGCTGCTTCCTCCTCTGTCTGCGCCAACGGGTTGGGGACCTCCCCGAAGGCCATCGTCTGGACTGGCACACTAGACGCGTAGGTCATGGTATTGGCGATATGCGGGGGCTGCTCGCGCTCGAACGTCTCGATCCGAGCTGCCGGAGCCGGCTCAGGCGGGTGCTGCGGCTGTTGCTGGCGCTGAGGCTGGCGCGCTGGATTCTGATTCAGCCAACGCTCGATTCGTTCGGCCAAATTGCGCCCAGTAATTGCTCGGGGGACGAACTGCCCGTTCGGCAGGACTATTTTATTGTCCCCGTTCCTGAAGCACTTCCCATCCCGCATGAAGTCCCCTGCGACTGGGCACTCCCGTAGGAAATGGTCGTGTGCCGAGCAAAACCCGCACTCCCCCGCTGGGAAGCCAGCTCCTCGATTGCTCGGACCGTCATTCCACGGCTGGCGCGGCGCATAGTCGTACCGCTGTTGATAACCGCCTCGATTCCCGTTCGAGTTGTAACCTCCCGAGTACTCGGGACGGTACTGCTGGGGCTGCGGAGGCAGCGGCTGGTACGCAGGCTGAGGCTCTGCCGCTGTTCCTTGGTACATCGGGTACGAGGGAGCACTCGGGCGAGGAGCAGTTCGGGTTATCGCCTGGGTGAGGGACTGCATGTCCACATGGTAACATTCGTTCATCTTCGCAAAAGCGTCGCTGAGGTCGACCATCTCCTTTTTAATGGAGACAGCACCCTCGGTGTCGGTAATCGTGCCCGGGCTCTCCAGAACGTAGTGACCGGCCTTGACCAGGTCCTCTAGTTCGTATGGTTTGCCGCTCGGGTGGTTCGGTTTCACGATTTCGAGTCGTCGGAAGACTCTGCCGCGGAAGCCATCGTCGAGGCCTCGAGGAAATTCCTTCTGTGCCTCCATTGCAGACATTTTCCCTTCCTTTGTCAACTGTGCCGTGATGGTTTTGAACTTCCGGTAATACTCGGAGAGGTCATCTCGGGTCTTTATTTTCCTGATCGACCTGTCGGTGATGAAGGTCTCGAGGTCCTGGGCGGTGAAGAGCCTATCTCCATCGGCGCCTGGGTACAGGTCCTCGATTTTGGCCTTGAACGCAGCCCAAGTCGGAGGTGCGTTCGGGTCCAAATGACCCTTCCACAGAAGTTCATCTTCCCTCTCGATGTAGCGCATGGCTATCTTTATTTTCTCCGCGTCCGTAGTACGTTCGTGGGACTCGGCAATCTCCTCTATGTCCTCCCAATAACGCTTTATGCTGAGCGCTTTCCCATCAAACTCCGGGGCCCCACGGGCCGTACGTCCAGGAAGAGGTTTCGGAGCCATCCTAATTCGGATAGGGGGTTCGGGTTCGGGTGATTCGTCTGGGGAAAGTACGACAGACGACTCGGTGGTCAAAGTCTGTGTCTCGGTTGTCGGGACTGAATCGAGTGATGATTCGGGAGAGAGAGCCGTTGGAATTGACTCTGGTGAAGAGGCGATGGAGGTCAAAGGTGACTCCTGCGTGGTTGGCGGATGGACAATGGGCGAGGGTGTACCGACTGGTGTAGATACCGAGGTAGTCGGATCGTTCTCGACGAGGTTAACCTCTTCGAATACTGTCCTGGCGGAGCGAGCTTTGAGCCGCTGACTCCGGGCGACGCTTTGTCTGGCAGAGGCTAGGACCTTTGCTCTTTTAGGATCCACGATAAAAAAACCCTCGCGGTGGGCTCCAGTTGTGATAAGGACCGCGGTGCCACTAGGCGAATATGTGGGATCACAAAGTGGCTGGTTCGTCCTCTAGGGCTCTTTATAGTTGGTTCCTAATAGAACATGAGGCTGTAGGTGGTCTGCCTTGTTGGATCCGAGTGTGTGTGTTGGTCGAAGGTCGAAGGTGTGTGTGTGTGTGCGAGACCCGAGTGCTCGGGACGGGCGAAGGCGGTTTACGAGTGCTTGGAAGGGATGTTGGCGGTGTCCGGTAACCTGTAGTCAGTATTCTCGGATGTACAAATGAAAGGCAAATCCTTGAGACGATGTCCCTTGGCGGTGGTGACGAACAAGCGCGTTGGTGGTCAACTCGAGGATGTAATTGGGGGATAGAGGTACAAGGTCAGGATAAGAACTCAGCGTTGGACTAGAGTCCTCAACTGGAACTGTCTCCTTGTGGTAGCTGACTGGGAACTGAATCCGAAAGTCCACAAGTAATTGACTGACTACCCTCGATTCGTCCGACGCCTTTTATACCTTTTCCAAGCCAGTCACGTTGTCCGTCCCGTCGGCGTCCACAGCCTCGTTCCACATGCTCCTCGAGCCTCTTTCGACCTTCCGTGGCATTTCTGAGCTCCCAGACTGCCGATATTCGCGGACGTTGAGCTTCACGAGCACTCAGAGGTGTTGAAATTCCGAAATAGCGCCGTTTCCGAGTGTTCGTAAGGGATTCGCGATGTTCTGAGTCGTCGGAATGTGGTGGAATAGGTTATAATGGTGGATAGGACGTGGGGGAATGGTCGTTTGGTCGCAGACATGGCTATCCTGCCGTCGAGGGTCGTTCAAGAGTCGTTTGTATCGTTGTATGGGGGCTCGGAAATGGCGCAAGTTCGTAAGTCGCAACGGTGCGCGTGGTCAGGTCTCCCCGCGAAGCCCGAGCGTGCCTGGCGTGCCTGGTTGCCATCCTGGCCGGGTTCGGTGCTCGTACGAGTCGTCGTAAACACTGGGATCGTCGAGTAACGAGTTGTTGGAAGTAGATCCGAATGAGGCAAGGTCGTTTCCTAATTGGGCGAATCTTGAGTGAGTGGGAATTCCGAGCCGTCGCGTCTCGTCCAGACAAGCCATGAGGCGGTGTGAGCAGTGCAGCGTGAACACAAGCCTCACAGCGTGGGCGGGGCGACGGAAGTCGTGCCCTCACGCGCGCGTACGGAGCGAGCGCGAGTCTCCAGCTGTGAATTTCCCCCTCGCGGTGGGCTCCAGATGTGATACGGACTGCGGTTCCGTGGGTTGTCTGACCGGGTGTGGTATAGTCAGGCAAAAGCACGAAATTAGTTCGTCCTCTAGAGGGAAATTTCTCTGTCGCGGAGATTCGTCTGCTACTGTAGTACACGCAATGTTATGTATTTTTAAAAGGTGGTGGTGGTGGTACAGTTCCTTCCGTACGGAATGAACAGTCTCGCTAGGTTCCTCGAGGATTTATTTCCTCGTTGGGGGGCTAGCCTTCCAGGAAAACTTCGATCGGAGGGTTTTCTACACTTGCGCGAAGGGGCAACGCTCCGCAAGATGAACGCCGTTCCGTGTCGAGATGCCTGGGCTATATGGTTCCTTTTCTTATCCCCTTGCCTCGTATAGGTTGGGCAAGCAGTATCTTCAGAACTGTTGAACACAACGCGTACGGGTTATAGCGTAGTCCTTCGTAACCCGGCTTTTTCTCTACGCTGTGGAGGTACGGCCAAGGAGTGTCAATTCCGTGGGCGTGTGTGTGGCGAAGTGGTGAGAATGAATCGTGAAGTGGTTATAATCGAATTGGATAAGCCTTCCGCGACGATGGGGGTGGTACTCCGCGCACGGATCTGTGTTCGAGGCCCAAGCCAACGGTTACACGCTGCTAAGTTGGGCTGCTGGCCGTTTGGAAGTTTCGCCGCGCGTACTACAACCACGCGAGCTATCAACGCCGATGTTTTCTATAATTCCTTCTGGCTCGTTCTATTGAGCTGGAAGTACTACGGACAAGCCTCCTTGATTGAAGCTTTTGGCCCAATTTGACCTTGGTTGATCCCACGGAGGGCGGCGCAACCTGAGCGAGTATGTATTTTGACTAGATTCTCACCCCGTATGATCAAGGGGGAGTAGCTTAGGTATGAGCAGTGGGAGGTAATAAGATGTATTCTTCTACGGACGTCCCTGCTTTTATACTAATTTCTTTCCGACCGCCGCGCGCGACCTTGTTCCTCATTCGTCCACGGACCCCTTTCAACACTGCCCTTTTTGCCTCGCGGCGAGGATCTCCATGCTCTCCCGTGCGCTTGAAGGAGATACCTAACCCACGGACCGTAACGTTGCTGCCCGTGCGCCCAATTTCCGTACTCCGTAGCTCGCACCTCCTTCCGTAGCCTTGATATGTACCGCATGGCGACACTTTCCGTACCCCGTGTAGTACCTCTTCCGTGTTCTGCGTATGCGTCATGTCGATTTGTTAATTTTCGTGAGGTCCGTGGCGCTTTGGGGATTTATTTGGTGGTAGGCCTGGTGGCGTAACTGGTAACGCGCGCCCTTGTAGTTCCACTTCTACGCAATATGACAGTTGCGAGACCCTGCTGGTTGTTCGAGGTATTGGCCTGGTGGCGTAACGGTAACGCGCGCATTTGCAGTCGACTCTCCTCGCAATATTGCACTATACTGCGAGTCCCTCGTTCGAATCGGGGTCAGGTCGTTTTTGCAACCTTTTTCTGTGCGTGCTCCGTAGTGCGTATTTGCCTTTTTCAGCCACGGAGAGAGCGTATCACAAAGTGATAGCTCACACCGAGCACCTTTCAGCACAACAACCAAAAATCTAGAGCACTCGCCACCAGATGCAGTCTTGTTCACCCGGGCATCTGATGAAGAGCGTCACTGAAGTACGGTTGAGTACATTCAGCAATACAAAAACAAGGAGTCGGTAGGGCCTTTAGCCTTCTGTGGCCATGCTGTCAAGATAAATGACAATCGTCACTCGAGGTAAGTATGTTTCTTTTCTTTTCTTTTTTAGTGAGGGAATTGATGAGAGTCCAGCTTCGTCGCTCCCTGCCTATACCATCCAGATTTGACAGACCGGCAACAGGAATTGGTGTTAAGAGCAAGAGACATGCATCAAGATCCAAACATTGGGATGCGCAAAGGTATGAGTAGCCAGGTCAAAGCCAAGCAGAATTTTTGATCGCAAGTCCTGGCTTGCGAGAGGTGGGCTGAGAACCAATACGGTCTGAAATTTCCACTTGGACTCGGGAAAAGAAAAAGGCAAGCAAAGCAAAGGGCAAGAAACGTGCATTGGCTATCGAGCGGCCACCTTCATTCAAAATCCAGAGTAAATGCTTGCAAGAGAGATATGGAGGAAGGCAGGAGCTCTGCTGCTCAAGTCTCAGGTGTCGAGGCTCCTGGGTGTCAAAGGGGCAGTGATATCGATGTCGACTCGGATATGGGCGCTGAGGAGAACTCGGTTGGGGATATTGATGAGAACTTCGAGTCTGTGGTGGATATGGAGAGCATGGTTGATTCTGAGGAGGATGGCTCCTGTATGGTAGATGATGAATGGCTTCTTCTCGTGGCACTGCTGCTAAGTACGGTTCCGGAATGAGTTCGGGTTCCGGGCCGGGCCAGCTGGTCCGAGCAGGGAGCGAATGCAAGAAGGGTAAAAAATTTCGTAGGCTGGAAATCTGTCTTAATCTCATTACTATTCTGATTTGATTTTATCTCATGTATGCTCATGTATCCATCTACTGCTTGTATTATTTTCTGCCTTGTACACTACTATCAATGCTTTCAATTCGTGTGTGATCATGCTCCGTGGTCCCAGGGGTCCCTGTTACATGCCGAGACCGATTCGATCAAACCATCATCAATCCGATGCTGGTCTGTCCCTGTTGCCATACATTATTCTGTGCGAAGTGCAAGTCGCGATCGTTCATTCGAGATTCTCATTTTAATTATGGCATAACAAGTGTACTCTTTGGTAGTGAAGAGCAGAGGACAGGAGGTGGGGAGGATACGGAGGACAAGCGAGGGTTGATGGACCTCCTGCACCGCAAAACAAGAAAACTGCTAATATAGTCTCTCGGCACCGCGCACGCACTGTTATGCACCAACACTAGACTATCATGTAGATGAGCGGTTGCATAAAGCACTCAGCTGCAAACACATGGTGAATAACCAAGCGGCATCACAAACAGCGGCCACACCCCGTCGCTTGGTACTCACAAGTACTTAAGTACGATCGCGTCCGCGCTGGCATTCCTCCGACTACGGAGTGTGCATGGTGTACAGCGCTCACATAGGAAGCATCACCCGCAGCCAAGTCCCAGCTTCATAATGAACATTACGTCCGTTCACCCCGGGCTGGTGCGTCCAGAATCGTATCGACGGGATGTCGACTGGCGCATGCGACAGCCCACCATCTCCACTAGCCCCCTCCACGTGCATCCTTCGGAATATCGTGTACACGCGGGACTCGATCTCGTTCTACCACTTCTCCGCGAGGTGCCGTGTGAGCAAATTCCCGCAGGTCCGTCCCCCACTCATGCATGGGTGTGGACCATCGCATCCGCGAAACAACTCAATCCAAGCGCAGCTCCGTCACCGTTGTACTTCGTTCCTCCACGCCACCTGCACCCGCGCCCGTACTCGCATCCGCGACTGGCTGACTGCTTCGCTGCGGGTAGTCCGCCTGATGGAAAGGACACCCAGGCACGTGTGCGTGCGCATCACCGCAACCGCGCGCCAGCTCGTGTCCTCGCCGTTGTGCCCCGCATCCGCATCCGCACACTCCCACTATCCTACGAGGGGCCCTCCGCCCGGCGCCAGTTTTGTTCCTTCTCAGAGCAACGCGAGCGAGACGAGAGGGTGAGTGCGGTTCCCGCCGACACATGGAGCTGCACGCCCTCTCCGCACCCGCTCCTTATTACCACACCCGCCCCAAGCTCACTCTCCCCATCACACCCGCGACTACCTCACCCATCTCCGCCCCCACTACAGTACATCCTCCCGCGTCGCGGACACACCGATCTCCCCCGACGCAGCCAACACCGACCTATCGAGTATTCCCCGTCGGGACGCCAGATGTGCGGATCGGGGTCGGGCGCGAGTGGGGCGGCGTAGTCGACGTGCGTGGGATGTATGTGGTGTAGTCCGTCGGACGCAGCGTATAGACCGGGGCTATCAGAATCGCGTCAGCCGAGGGAAAAAAGGAAAGAGGGAGGAAGTGGGAGGAATAAGGAAGAGAATATAAAAGGAAAGGGAAAGGATAGAAACCGAGACACAAGGTCCAGGTGTCCTCGCCCACCCCGCCGCCGTTCCCTATTCCCAGTCCCATTACCATTCGCCCCAAGCGCCTTCGCACACGAGTTGAGTAGGCCCCGCGTGCCGTAGTACTCGGGCTGGATAGTACACGGGTGGATGCCCTGATCGTGTAGCGCGCGCCGGATCTGCGGGGCGATGGGCATGAAGTCGTGCTCGCGCGCGGCGAGGACAGGCACGGAGGCGATATTTTTGGATTCGGAGAGCTGTGGGGGTGCGTAAGCGAGTGAGTGGTGAAGTAAAATAAACGGGAGCGTAAGAGAGAGGGGAGAGGAAGGGGAGGGAGAGGGGACGGGGACGGAAGGACGTTCTATCGGTGTGAAGGGGATTTGGAGGACGAAGAAGAACGAGGGACGTCGCTCGAATGAGTGAAAACTTGAAAAAGCCCACACACCTGCCAAATATGCAGCTCATGCAGGCTCTGCACGCCCTCCACCGCGAGGATCGCAGCGCGCACTTGCTCGAGTGAGATGGTCGCGGGGACGCCGTGCAGGAGGACAAAGGACGCGGAGCGGACTGTGGAGGGAAGGTGCGTTAGCGTCTTGAATATTGAAATGTTGTCACGAGAAAAAAGGAAGGAGGGGCGGGAGGGGGACCGGACCGGACCTCGTCACGGCTTATATCTGCACGCCCGCCTCGACCCAAGCCCGAGATACTGCAGCGCTGTCTCAACCCCAAGGCATATAAAGTAGAGAGCGCGAAAGAGAGTAAAGAAATCGACGTAACCAACGGGACCGCACTCCCCAAAATAATACAGGCAATAACCAAACTAATCGCCGGGTCGACATATACCTCCCGGTCGTTCCACGATCCACGAGGGCGGGGCGAGGAGGAGGATGAGCCTCGTGGCGATGACGCCGACGTTGCCGAGGGCGTCGCCGAGGACGTGCAGGACGAGCGCGCGCATGTTCATTGAGCCGGCGTGCGAGTGCCCGTGTCGATGGGAGGCGTCTTTGGAAGCGTTGACGGCAGGGGGAGGGAGAAGGGGAATGTGAGTGGGTGTGAGGTGTGGGGGAAGACGAGTGGGAGTGGGAGTGGAGCTCGTCGTACGGTGCGAGAGGAGCGGTGTCGTCTCGCTAGCTCCATGACCAAGGCTGTCGTGTCGCGCCTTGCTGGGCGAGCGCGCCATGTCGTGGGCCACTAGACGTCATTCATCGTTAGTACGAGTCGGAGTAAATTATATATTGGCTAGAGGAAGGAAGACCCACCTCGCGCGATCGACGCCCTCGTCATAACGGGGTGTCCCGAGCCCACGGGGCCGACGTACTCCTCCGAGTCCTCGCTCCCGCCGAGGTTGCCGGCGGGCGCGTGGATTGCGCTACTGCTGCTGCTTTTCTTCGCGGTTGGAGAAGACGGCGTAACAGGTGCCTTGGACTCGGCGGTGGTGTGCGTGGGAGGCGGCGGCGTAGGCGTGGCCGGCGGGGCCGCGGGCGTAGTGGGGGCGGCCTTGGTCTTGGTGGTGGTTGTCTTCTGCGCAGCACCACCACCTCCGAGTCCACCGAAGGGATTGCTGTTTCCGAAAGGCTTGCCGTTGCCAAAAGGGTTGGTATTACCACCGGACCCAAAGCCAGGCTGCTCACGCCAATGGTAACGGGAAACCCGAAGACTGTGACCACGTGCTCCGGGGCGGGGGCGGGGGCAGGGACGGCGCTGACCAGAAGGGCGGGGAGGGACGAGAGAATGCATATTTGGGTCAGTAGGAGGACCAGGGAGAGTCGGGGAAAGAGTGTGGGGCCGCGGTGGGCGTGCATGGTAGATTCAACTTCATCAAGCGCTGCCTGTGATGTGGCGACCTTGTACTTAGAGTCAGTGAGCGTAAATGTACCGATTTTGTGAGGAATACGCACAGGAGGTAAGTGTGCAAGCACAAGACGGGACTCGACACGGACGGCGTAGAGGCGTGCGCGGAGTAGGATGATCAGGAAAAGAAGGTGTCGTCGATCCCTACACACGATCACTGATTGCAATTCACTTGGCGCGACTGATGATTGATCGGCGGACGCGACGCGTCTCCGCGGCGCGCGGTCGGTATTCTTGGAGCTTCCTCGTTTCTTCAATACTGATAAAGCTTGACCTTTGACCTCCAACTCAAACCCAACACGGTGTTGTCAAACATCCACGCCACCCGCGCGACGTGTTGAACGAATGAATGAATGAAGACCATTGAAATGTTTCCTTGGCAGACATCGGGTTGCACTCGGAAAATCCTACCTCCTGCTGTCTGATTTGGACTCGGAGATCCAAAGTCCCCGATGTCCATGTCGGCGCCGACGCGACTGTCTATGCATGGATGATGCAGATTGAATGAACTCAATTGGCACCCATCCGCAAACCAGCCTGGCACCCCCTGGTAACCTTGCGGAGCGCGGGACTCTGGCTGTGCTA